GTGGACAGTCCAAGATTGGGCGCAGGCGTTGGGAAGATGTGCTGGCATGCCAGGGCATCTCCTTTTCGACAGTGAGAGCATCAAGGTGACCAAACAAGAAGAGGCGCAATTTGTGGAGCTGTTCAAGACCGGGAGGTCTACCAAGAATGGGTACAGGACCCGTGATTACAAGGATCGATTTCGCCGGACTTTGTCCGCGGCGCTGATGCAATTACTGCAGCCGCACCGCGCCTGCTACATCACATTGTGGCAGGTCTCTTTTGTGGAGTGCGTCATCGAGGGAACTCCAATTCACTGGGCGAGCATCCTGCACAGGGTGATGCGACAGCACGCGTTTGAGGAGAAGGGGGGAACTCTAAACCATCTTTCTCCTTTCCTCATCAATTTTTATCGACAGCGGAATTGTTTGACAGCGGCGGAGCTTGAACATTTTCCGCCATTGTCCATCGACCATCCCGGGAAGTATGTGCGGGAGAACGAGGTCGACACGGATGCAGAGGAGTCACCGACTTCTACCCCATCAAGACGGAGGGACGAAGGGAGACACACCCCTGCAGCGCGAGTGCCGCGGAAGCGGCGATGGAGGAAAGAGTCTGAAGAGGAGCAGCATCAAGAACCCTCTGCTCCCATTCGACCGCGGCCGCTGTGCGAGCCATACAGCCGGCCGAAGCAGAAGGCACGCAGACTGGTGTTACCAGCCGACAGTGCGGACACGGCGACGATTGCGACGGAGATAGGAAGTGCGTCGCCAGAAAGGCGAGAGGAAGCGCGGACGACCGCAGGAGCAACGGGCCACGCTGCAACCTCGTCGGGAGAGAGGCCGCCTACGGGCCAAGGGCCTCCGGAGTTACCACGTGCGGTGCGGACAGATGTTCCGTTTGCGCACAGGCGAACCTCCGCGGACGGACGAGCCTCCGCGGACCGGCGAACACAAGTGGACGTGGATCTACGCTTACGCGTGGGAAGGAGCAGTCCGCCTGTGCACAGGCGCTCACCTGTGCACAGGTCGCCTGTGCACAGGTCGCCTGCGCACAGGACACCTCCACACGTGCCGCCTGTGCACAGGCAAGAATCACCCCCGTTCCAACGGAGGAAGGGGAAGGAGCCGGCGGAAGAACCGCCTACGAGACATCGGCCCTCGGGGCCAGACCCTCCGGCGCACCACGCGCCGCAATTTGCGCCTTCGGCGCCAGGGCCTTCGAGCCGAGGAGATACGAGCAGAGAGCGTGCGGAGGCCGCACCATCGGCGGGAAGTCCGCCGATAGATGCGCCTTCGGCGGTAGGGCCTATAGGCCAAGGAACATCGGGCGTGCGGCCCCCGGCCATGTCGCCTTCGGCGATAGATGTCCGCGGCGCTACGCCTGCGGCGGACAAGGCGCCGGCAAATGCGCCTGCGCACGGGCCGGGCACAGCCCCCACGGACCGATCAAGGGAGCAGCAGACGGAGGAGCGGAGTGACTGCCCGCGGGATGAAATCTCGATGCGCGATGCGCAATCCAACCCCGCGCAGCCACCCTCCGCTCAATCGCCTTCGGCGGCGGACGACGGCGACAGAGAGAACGCGGTAGGCAATCAACAAGCGAGCGACGGGGATGCCGCTCGGGTACATTCGCCTTCCGCCTTAGACATTTTGGCGACGAGCAGCGAGGCTGCAGCCGTGCCTTCGCAGGCAGCACATGTCGACGACGTGCAGCCCCACTCGGGGCAGTCGCCGACGCAATCAATGGCGACTGAAATTCTCCACTCGGATGATGACGACGGGGGCTCCACGGAAGAAATGTCAGGAGCAGAAGACACCGAGGAGGAGGAGGAGGAAATTGTTGGAGCGCCGGCGGCGGCGCTCTCTGAGCAGGTGATTCCGTTGCTGCGGTACTTGGATCGCAAGGTCGATAAATACGCCGACCCACTCCAGCCGGGATCTTACATCGAGTTAGTGCGCAGGCGGACTCGCACTAAAGTCCACACCAGCAAGCTATTAGCTAGAGTGGACCAGGAGTTGAGGGACTTGAAGGAGAAGCATGAGTGCTTGTGGGGTCAGTACAAGCTTAATCAGAAGTTCTACAAGCACACCGAGAAGATGAAGGATGAGAAACTGGGCGAGCTCACCAAGGAGCAGGTGAAGGTCAAGGAAGCACTCGATTCTGAGCAGGCCCAGAATCGGATTTTGTCAGAGGAGCTCGTGCGACAGACGCGGTTGTTGGAACAATGTCAGCTCGCACGGCAGGCGGATGAAGAATTAATCCGCAGGTTACAGTCAGAGTGTGGCGAATTGAGAGCGCAACGTGCTGAAGCCGAATCGCAATTAGTGATAATTGAAGAGGATCGCAGGAAGGAGGCGGATCGCACGAAGGTGGAGACGGCGAGGCGAGTCGCCCACTGTCTCAAGGGCTACGCTCACTGGGAAGTGAAGGCGCAGGAGAAACTCACACTGCGTGAGTTTGAATTGCGCGCAGCCGGGTTGTTGTCAGGCGACAGTAGGAGTCGGCGGAAGGTAGCAAAGAAGCTCGAAGCTTTTCTGTCGAAGGCACAGGATACCATGTCCGCCCTCGAGGGGGAGGTGTCCGCGGCGTTGCAGCGGTTGGGACTGCGCAGTCGAGCGGAAGAGTGGCAGGGTAGGGAGTTAGTGCGCGGCAGTCGGCCGCGCAGGAGACGTAGTACAGGTTCCGCGGAGTGTAGTGTAGCGTGGTTCCGTGCAGGCGCGTAGCGTAGTGCAGTGTAGTGTTAGGTAGGACTTAGAAGGTATAAAATAGTTCCAGGCGTTTTGCCTGGGGTTCTTTCCCAAACTCAGAAGTATAGATCAGGAACCCATTTCCTTTGCGTGTTTGTGTCCTTGAATTCTGTCACCACGCATGAGGAGTTACAACTTAGCGTTCCGCATTTTGTAGCTGAAGGCCTTCGGCCGAATGTTCAGAGCTAGTACATTGGTTAGAGACTTGAGTAGTTCGGAACTGCACCGACGGGTGACTGCCGATGCTCAGAGCCAGTGACTAGTTAGATACTTGAACAGTTTCGCCCCTACACCTTCGAGTGTTTCTTTCTGATTGTACTCCTTTGGGATTTTTCCCCTGAATGCCAAAGTGAAGTTTTGCTACTTCGTGTAAGCCTTGGTTGTAAATTCAGGTTACGCTGCAGCAGGTGCCTTGAGGGTAACCCCTGTAGTATTTCTGGGAATGACAAGTGCCTGAGAATTCAAACTCTTCAATAGACTGTTATTGTGTTACTGGAATGTTTCACAGTGAGTCCTTCAGTGTGGACCTGTGTTCTCTGCGCGTTTTGTGAGTTGAGAGTGTTGTTCACCGCGTCTGAGTGACTTCGATCCGAAGTAGGTAGTCCAAACCGGGTTTCCTACACTAGCAGCAAGCTAGTGGAAGCGTTGTAAAAGCCGGAGTTGGAAGTCACTGCCCGCAGCTTTGCCGAGTGTGCTCGTGAGAGACTTCCCCCTGAAATCTTGAAGTAGAGGTCCTAACGGATCTCTGGGTTGTGTTCTGTAGTTTCAGGTGTGTGTGTGTGTGTGTGTGTGTGTTACGCTGCACTGTGCGACCTCCGAGTGCGCTCCGAGTGGACACTTGCAGTATTTCTGGGAGTGACAGTTGCCTGAGAATTCAAACTCCTCAATAGTCTGTTAAAACGTGACACTTTGTACCCTGTGTGTTCCTCTGTCCCTGTGGGTTCGACCTTTCTACCACTATATTGCAGTTTTAGCCTTTAGTGGGTTATTACATTTATTCTCTCAACCATCGCCCCCAGTTCTCATGGAGCTGATGGAGTCCTTGATCACAATGACCTTGTCTCACTGGCAAGCTGACTTCGTGACGATGTGGAAAGTCGAGGTTTATCGTCTGTGAACGATGGACTGGAGCAGCATAGAGAGAAATACGAGCTCACCTTGCGCGGCCATTTTTAAGAAAGAAATGCATAGACCAATGCTTATTCGCTTTTCATTTGAAACGAAATTTTCAAATATTCACAGAATCTTCTGGGCCAGCAATGTTACGATGATGTTACACAATTTGCCGAAGTCGAGCCAAGTGGATGCATTGAATTTACCACTCTCTAGGTTCACACCCTCCAGAAATTCTAAGGAGCTTGATACATGTATCACAAGAAACGAACAGTGAGGTTCTAAACACCAATTCTATGGTGGCGAGTTTTAAATCGAATCAAATATTCAGATTTTGTGATGCGCGTTGACAGTTTTGTGTTCGCATTTGCAAGGTGACCATCCGAGTCATAGCGGTAGATAGAGAAATGGGACATCGGTTTCGCAACAAATAACTTTCACGAAGGAAACTCATTAACTTGCAACGGGCACTGCATGCAACATGTCGTTGTTGCAAGTATATTCCCGCTAGCTCGAGCTGAGAATTTGTAGCCGAGCAGAAGAATGTCATGTCAATGTCTCGAGTCAATCCGATATTTCAGCATTGTCACGACACATCTATTGTGCAACGGCATGGCGAGAACGGTGAGAAACGTAAGTGGCGTAATTCGAATATGCGTTATTTATCTTTTGACTTGGATTTGTCTGCAGGACAAGGAGTGCCTGCCAATGTATACTCTAGCTGAATTCACTCAAGGACCTCGTCCATTTACCTATTTTGGATCCAGGAGATACCAGCAGCTGAATTCACTCCGAAGAAACAACCACCCACTTCAAGTTTTCATTGGTTCAAAACATTTGAAATGTAATCAATTTTTTTGAACGATTAGTAATTTCAATGCAGGCGTATTTTGGACCGATCCATCTCAGGCTCGCCTGGGAGGATGAAGAGACATTTGTTTACGGCTAGTAGCTGTCAAACCGCAACGTTTACTTCTTGCGCCAGATCTGGACTCCATGAAAAGGGTTGAGAGAATATCTGACGATTCTTGTTAAGGACAAATTTCAAAAGCAGTTGATTTTGCGGTTGAGAGTAGGATACGTTGGTCTGAAGCCTCGGGTGACAGCTATAAAGAGGAAAGATGGTGATCAATCAGTATCTTATCAAGATACAGCATACATTTGCAAGTTCTATCGTTGCCTAAAGCAATTTTATCAGCAATTTTATCAGCAAACCTGTATTATCGCATTTCTGTCAATCAGTTGTGTGTAAAAGTCATCAACACCAAGTGTACGACAGTTCGTGCATCGTCAGCTAACTGAGAACAATGGGGTCGAGCAATCGGCCCTTATTATCCTGGCTGTCACTAGCTACTCTAATTGCTACTCTGGCTCTTGTGAGCCAATGCGTCGAGATGCTGGAGATGGATGCGCCTGCGTCGTTGACCTTCTGCGAGGTTCATGTACTTCCTCGAGGATACAATTGCGAAGAGCATGAGGTTAGTGGTCTTAATTACTAATAGATACTCTGTCGGCTCGACTCATCATTGTTCTAAAGCAGAGTAGTGACAAATAAACTGCAACCTTCGCTTTTGCTTTGGCATGTTTTAAGAAGACATGGCTTCATTGATATTGCGAAACCAAACGATACCTGAACATGGTCGGTGTATGTGTGATTTGTGTACATTGGCAGGTATATTCCGAGGATGGTTACATACTTCGTCTGCATCGTGTTATACCTCGGGGCAACCTGGACAAGTCTGTGTGGGAATGGCTGGAACCGGAGCTCCGACATAAGCACAAGCACAAGGGGCCCTTCCCTGGGTTCAAGAATCCACGGCCAGCTCCTGAGGCTGTACCCTCGCAAACAAGTCCTAGCAGCACGTCAGAAACTCCACCATCTCCAAGTCCTCCTCCTTCCTCCTCCTCGACTTCAGGTGAAGGAGCATATGGAGGGCCAACTCCGCCGTCGTCCTCCTACTCTCCACCTGGTGGATATGGAGGTCCAAGTCTTCCGTCCTCCTCCTCGCCTCCAGGTGAAGGAGCATTTCGAGGACCATCTCCGCCGTCGTCCTCATACTCTCCACCTGGTGGATATGGAGGTCCCAGTCTTCCGTCCTCCTCCTCGCCTCCAGGTGAAGGAGCATATGGAGGATCACATTCGCCCTCGTCCTCATACTCCCCGCCCGGTGGATATGGAGGTCCCAGTCTTCCGTCCTCCTCCTCCTCGCCTCCAAATGAAGGCGCATATGGAGGATCACATTCGCCCTCGTCCTCCTACTCCCCGCCCGGTGGATATGGAGGTCCCACTCCTTCTGCGTTCTCCCCACCAGGTTCAAGCACATATGGAGGATCGAACTCAGCTCCATCGTCTTACTCTCCCCCGGCAGCCGCTGGATATGGGGCACCCAGTCCCGCCGGTTCTAGGAACTCACCACCAAGTGCCGGCGCAATAGGAGGAGGATCTCCATCTCCCACGTCCTTCAACCCTCCTCCTGCCTCTGGCGGATATGGAGCAACGAGTCCTCCTGGTACGGAGCCATATGGAGGAGGATCCACATCGCGGCCTTCCTACTCTCCTCCCACTCCTTCAGAATCGAACTCTCCACCAGGTGTAGGAAATTACGGAGAGGGTTTCTCAGGACCATCAACATCTGCTCTCTCCCCACCACTTGTTGGATCCGGATACGGAGTCTCGCCACCATCGTCAACGAGCTCCCCACCGAATGATTCAGGAGGATCTACTTCCAGTTTCAGTGCTGACTGTCCACCTGGCTTGTCCTCGCCGAACATTGCAAGGAGGGGACTTACTAGCAGCAATGGCCGAGAGCAACCTTCGACTCGAGCCCAAAATGCAGAACTCGTCGACCGGGACCCGGTTCTGCTCATGCACCACGAGCTTTTCAACGGGGGCAGCTGGTTCACGCCCGTGGCCACCGAGAACGACACTCTGCTCCCGCTAAGGCTCGTGGACCAAGGCTTCGATGTGTGGATCGGTCACGAGCGGGCGACGTTCTGGAGCCACGAGCATCGGAAGCTTACTCCCAACGATGTTGTACGTGCAACACGATCCTCCCGGTTTTTTCGTGATTTTTGCTTGGAAATTGACGATTCGAGGCATTTGTGTGGCCTTTTTGCAAGTATTTTCTCGCTATTGCTAATGACTGACAGGAAGGATACGACCATGCAGGCGTACTGGAACTGGACTTGGGATCAGCACGTAGAGCACGACGTTCCGAAGCTGCTGGCATACATCAGCGACGAGACTGGCTCCAGAGTGCATTACGTCGGAGTGTCTCTGGTGCGTGAATGTATTCATTACGTGATTTTCTCCCTCCGTACAGGTAAGATCCACATTCAGGCTTCGAGCTCAAGCTTATTTGCCGTGACTGCTTGGATGCTTGGATGGATGTATGCAGAGCGCTGCAGTCGGGGCAGCCGCAGCCACGAACGCGGGCGTCGCCAGTCTCATGAAAACTCTGACTCTGATAGCTCCCGCCTTCTATCGGGGGAAGACTACTTCAGAGTTCCTGCAAGCCTTGGATCCTATTCCATTTCCCTCGGTGAGGCTTCCGACCGCCTTCTCCATTTCTGTTCATTATGTCAGACTTGATAGTGCTGACTACGAGATTGCAATCAAGAATCGACGATGACTGCCGCTGTATTGCGATTACAGGCCTTAGGCACGAGCGCCGACGAAGGGCACGACAACAGGCTCGGTGCGTTCAACTTTCCGAGGTGAGTATGGCATCAGTATCATGCCTGACTTGACGTGAAATCGAGTATCTTCCATCTGTCCACATCAGCAGCCATGAAAAGAGTTTGGTGAAGTTAGGAAAGATCAGGAGCTAATACTAATCCGTGGTGCCCCAGGGAGTTTCATCTAGATGCCATTCCATTGACCAGCCCCGCTTTTCGTCTGCGGTTTGCCATCTCGGGTGACTGACCATCCCTTCTTCATTCGGTTTTTCCCAGTGATTTAGAAAAATGGGCTCGTGGGATGATTCGGTTTATCGATATTCTTCTGTCGATTGACTTGTTTGTGGAATCAGATTGGAATCTGAACCGGTTTCTCGTTGCTGTGCCTGCATGAACATAATAAAGGCCCCGATTGTTGCCTGGGTCCGAGTGTGCTCTCGCTCACCAACGGATGGGATGGAGTGACGTCGTACAAGAATCTCGAGCACCTCCATCAGGGTAAACTGGACGATCGATCTTGATGGGATTAGAAGGAAGTAAGGCAGGCAGGGCTACATAGAGATATCACATGGATTTGATACTTTTGGAGCGAAGCATGGAGTGACTTCTCACATCATCGCGTGAGCTGCTCGCATGCAGGAATCTCGACGAATACCTTTCAGCACTTCGACTACGGGTCCTCAGCCTTGAATGCCCTGGCATACGAGGGCAAAACCGACCCTCCAACTTACGAGCCGAAAGATATTCCCACCGACCTGGCGATGTTGGTGGTTTACGGAGGGCAGGATTTATACTCGCCTCCCGAAGGTGCGCTGGAATTCATGAGCTTGACACAGACTATGCCCCAGTCAGTGAACCTGCCTCACTACGCACATTTCGACCTATCTCTGAGCCTGCACCGAGCGGACAATGTGTATGGGCCGATCACAGCCTTTCTTCAAGACCAATACGGACCTGAAGAACCTCACTACTGATAATCTAATCAATGTATCGATAGGACGATGGCGATAATAGATTTATCAAGCAGCAGCTGTTGCCAGAAGCATCATGCCTTCATGGAATTGGACGATTAGTCCATCAGTAGTGTATAGCTATAGGTAGTAGTAGTTAGTGATAATAGAAATATCAAACAGCCGCTTTTGTTGGAGAGCTTTATGCCTTCAATCGTACGATTAGTCCCAGTAGTCTATAGAGGTATAGATATCTCAATAAGCAGGATCAGCTGTTGCCCATTTGATATTTATGCGGAGATAGCCACAATTTACTTATTACTTGACTTAGAATCAACTATTACGTACCATTTCACTTTTGGGGGGTCTGTCCATTCAGAGCATGGGAACAAGTCACTTGTGCACTCGTCTCTCGAACATTCATGAAATCAATAAAATTTGTCCAGTATTTTTATTTTTTTTGTATTCGTCTGGATCCTTGCAAAGGAGTCACAAGTAAAACCTGCGCGAAGACTGTAACCCGGGAAGACCATGTGGACTTCAATGCAAGTTGGTGGCTATTCATGCTCAAAGATATTCAATCAAATAAGCCGATCTGGACAAATGGGACGGCTTGCACTTCTCAGTTGTGAGCAGTGTAAGCCATCCCATTTGACCGATCCTCCATTCTCTTTGGTTTGCATGCAGCTGTGGATGTTGCAAGTCAAGAGGAACGAATCCAAACTTGAAGTAATTAGATTCTTGCTATAGAACCAGGTATTCTTTTGATTTTTTATTTCTGCTATAAATAAAGTCTATATTCCATAATGTTGTTACTGGTATACAAAGATTATCACAGTGTCAATTTTTGATAACTACTACTGATCAGAGATGATATAAATTCTTGGTAAATGCTTAATCTATAATGGAAATGTAGATCCATTCTAATGTGAAACCTGAGTTCCCATCATTAAATTTAATTACTTCAAAAACTCTATATTTGAAGTATATAAAGTATCATACTTTCCATCAGCATTACCTTTAATATCAGTTTTCAATTTATGAAGGTATTTCTTAATTCATTTTGCCAGATGTCCTAAGTTTTTCTTCTAAAACATGTATTTTCTTACAAGTATTTTCAAATTTACCACCAGAATATTTTATCCTACAGATTTTTTTCTGCCTATTATAAAATTCGTTATACTAGTTCTTACAAAATGTTCTCTAAAGACGAGCTTATTCTTTTTTTTACACTTGAGGCTTTATTAGATTAACAATGTTAGCTATATTTTTTTTATGATTGATCATGACTGGAAAATATGTAGATTTTCAAAACAAAGCTAATCTAACTTCTATTCAGATGTGCATTGAAAGAAATTATAGTTCTGCCAAACTATATCATAGCAGAATTTTATATTAGTATTTGATCTCAAAGTTGATGGAGTTTGAAGTGAAGCGTAGCCAAAGGCTGTTGAAGATATTGCACAATCAAACAAGAATTTCAATTGGAGTCAAATGATCTTTATTTATATCTGGTCAATGACATCATAATCAGACTTACTTGAGAAGGTAGGAAATGGTTACTCTTGTCAAAACAATCACTGTCATCCTCGTCACTTCGAACTCACGTTGATAATTTCATTTATCAATTGGGGCCAACACTTGAACTCTCATATGATTCTGGGGAAGCGCTTATGCTTCAACGCTCACTTCCCTTGGACTCATTTGTCTCCTGGAAAACCTCCATCGGTTATTTAATCCAACCACAACCAACGTCACGTTTGTGCTAGGACGATGAGTTTGTCAGTTTTATTGCTTCCCCTACTGGGACTTCTAGCCGCTGTAGAACAGGACCGCGTGCCGCTTCCTGCAGATTGAGCAATGGTGGAGAAGATTGACATTTCGGAGAGCATCGCGATGGTCGTGCTTCAAATTTTGTGCATGTCGATCCCGAGGAACGTACTAAGAACTCGTCCACAATTCGTGATCAGCAGGATGAGAGTCATTCGATCCCCGATGCAACCAATCACAAAATTTGTTTATCACCCATGATATTGGTTGCACCGGGGATGGAATGACTCTCATTTGCCTAAATCATGAGTATACTCCAGTTCCAGATCTGACCTTTCAGAAGCATTCGGTCCGAGCCATTTGGTGCATTTCGGTTTTGCATACATGTGAACATCAGGTAACTGTAGACATCTATAATTTACCAAACAGGCCACAGTTCGTAAAAACATTGCTTTCAGAATCTCTGATTGAATTACGGAGGTCAATATTTTCAATTTTGAAGTTGAAACAGTTAATTGTCATAAAAAGTTCTTATATCTGTCCAGGGCGGAGTTTCAAGATTATCTTTTACTTTGGAAGGATGGAAGATAGTGTTATATATAAACATTAGTGTGCGCTCCCATAAAATTCATTTCCTAGTACATACTGCCTCTCATGTTGATTGTCAAATCATACTATCTCAAACGTTTCCAATAAACAATCAAGTCATGTGTTTGCATATGGCTTTTGATGTCGGATGAGGTGAGTTCACCTTAAGCACTTTGAACACTCTTCTGCTAGAGACTATGAAACTATAAACCGGTTCGCTCGCCGCTACTTGGGGATTCCTTGTTAGTTTATTTTTCCTCCTCTTAGTGATATTAGCCTTGGGTATTTCAGCCTCCGGACATGGGCCCCCCAATCCCCATGACAGTGACCCAGGGATGACACACCGGATTCACTTTCACGCGCATCCCGTTCGGGCCACAAGTCTCCGACGCTGCATTTAAACCGACCACGACCGCTCGGCCCCGCTTTCCCGGACGGTCAACTCCACGCTCACCCGGACCGGAGTCCGGATTCGGTGAAAATCCGGACTAAACCCTACCTCTTTAGGAAGTTACATTCGAGTTACATTAGGGTGTCTTTCATGTGGGAGTTACAACAAGTGGAGTTTGAGTCTCATCAAACCTCTACCTCTTCAATAACCATTTGAGGGTATCATTCATGTTACGGTTCCAACATATTAGATTCGAGGCTCATCAAACCTCTATCTCTTCTGGAGAAGGTATAATGGTATGTCTTTCTTGACGGTGTTCCAACAAATTTGATTTGAGTTCCATCAAATCTTCACATCTTCCGGAAAATAAATGTGAGCAGTTTGAGGGCTTCTCACATGATGGGGTTACATCAAATCTATTGAATCTCTACATCTTCAGGAAAGAAGAACAGAATTGGTTTCAAGGTCTCTTTCACGAAACTGTTCTATCCAGTTTAGTATTTGTTTCATTTAATTACTACTTCTTCAGAAAAAAACATCAGATTAAATTTTAAGGTCTGATCATGTCCTCGTTACGTCAAGTTCAGTTTGAACTTCATCAAAGTTCTATCTCTTCCAGCAAGTAAACTGGAGATGATTTTAACATCTCTTTTATTAATACTAAAGATTCATTGATTTGGCGACATCATGAACACAAGCCTCATAACACAAATGATGTTTCCTAGTAAATGATATATCCTACTGATGAAACTTCCACATAATCATAAAAAAAGGTTTGAAATAAATCCGCTACCCAATCTCAAGAACAGGTTTCAGAGGTTGAAGGTTGAGTTTTACTGATCTGTTCAAGTAAGATGCATATTTTCACTGAGTCGCAATAGAGTCGGAGAGATTCTCAAACAAGAAAGTACGAATCACGTTACTGTCGATTCTAGAATTTTGTTTCGCCCTCTAACGTCAATCTGACCAACCGAAAATTGCAAAATACCAACGTACTTATCGCCGAGCGAATGGGAATTACTTGGAAACCGGACAAAATCACCCGGACACAATAAAGACAGGACTGGCTGTATAAATATCATCTTATTTTAGCTAATGGATCGCCTCTATGTACGCTACGCACGGGAAACGAGCAAGAGCGTCATCTCAATACGGTTTTAGAGTAAGTGGTTTGCGACAGTCAACGATTGCATCGAACAGGTGTTAGCAGGATCTGAAACTGGGCACCTTCCAACCGGGATGGGACTAGGACTGTCAGAGGGTTCAAATATCTTCATGGCTCAAGGACAGACTGATAGCACACTCCATGGCAGACAAGATTCTCTTATCGAACCAGGTATCCAAATCAAAAAATAGGTACTGGAAATTTTTTATTGATATATAAATGTTCGAGAGACGAGTGCACAAGTTACTTGTTGACAGGTTCTGAATGGATAGATCCTCCAAGGTGAAATGGTACATAAACCGTAACAGTTTATTCTACGTCAAGTACTCAGTAAATTGTGGCTATCTCCGCATTAATAACATATGAGCAACAGCTGATCCTGCATATTAAGATATCTATACCTTTATAGACTACTTGGACTAATCGTAAGATTGAAGGCATAAACCTCTCCAACAACAGCTACTGATTGATATTTCTATTATCACTTACTACTACTGGCACTACCTATTGAAAAGTTTCATGATCAGTAGTAGGGTTTTTCATATCCGCACTGGTCTAATATCCTTATTGGTCTAGAAGAAAGGTTGTGATCGGCCTAGTAAATTGTACTCAGGAAATTGTAGCTATCCCCACTTGTATATAGTATGGGAAACAACTGAAGCTGCTGCCCATAGTACTATAAACCACTACCTAGAGCTATTCACTACTAAGGGGACTAATCGTCCAATTCCATGAGGGCATGACGCTTCTGGAACCAGCTGCTGCTTGATATATCTATTATCGCCATCGTCCTATCGATGTTAATTGGTTACATTATCAGTAGTAAGGTTCTTCAGGTCCGGATTGGTCTTGAAGAAAGGCTGTGATCGGCCCATACACATCGTCCGCTCGGTGCAGGCTCTGAGATAGGTCGAAATGTGCGTAGTGAGGCAGGTATGGGCATAGTCTGTGTCAAGCTCATGAATTCCAGTGCACCTTCGGGAGGCGAGTATAAATCCTGCCCTCCGTAAACCACCAACATCGCCAGGTCGGTGGGAATATCTTTCGGCTCGTAAGTTGGAGGGTCGGTTTTGCCCTCGTATGCCAGCGCATTCAAGGCTGAGGACCCGTAGTCGAAGTGCTGAAAGGTATTCGTCGAGATTCCTGCATGCGAGCAGTTCACGCGATGATGTGAGAAGTCACTCCATGCTTCGCTCCAAAAGTATCAAATCCATGTGATATCTCTATGTAGCCCTGCCTGCCTTACTTCCTTCTAATCTCATCAAGATCGATCGTCCAGCTTACCCTGATGGAGGTGCTCGAGATTCTTGTACGACGTCACTCCATCCCATCCGTTGGTGAGCGAGAGCACACTCGGACCCAGGCAACAATCGGGGCCTTTATTATGTTCATGCAGGCACAGCAACGAGAAACCGGTTCAGATTCCAATCTGATTCCACAAACAAATCAATCGACAGAAGAATATCGATAAACCGAATCATCCCACGAGCCCATTTTTCTAAATCACTGGGAAAAACCGAATGAAGAAGGGATGGTCAGTCACCCGAGATGGCAAACCGCAGACGAAAAGCGGGGCTGGTCAATGGAATGGCATCTAGATGAAACTCCCTGGGGCACCACGGATTAGTATTAGCTCCTGATCTTTCCTAACTTCACCAAACTCTTTTCATGGCTGCTGATGTGGACAGATGGAAGATACTCGATTTCACGTCAAGTCAGGCATGCTACTGATGCCATACTCACCTCGGAAAGTTGAACGCACCGAGCCTGTTGTCGTGCCATTCGTCGGCGCTCGTGCCTAAGGCCTGTAATCACAATACAGTGGCAGTCATCGTCGATTCTTGATTGCAATCCCGTAGTCAGCACTATCAAATCTGACATAATAAACAGAAATGGAAAAGGCGGTCGGAAGCCTCACCGAGGGAAATGGAATAGGATCCAAGGCTTGCAGGAACTCTGAAGTTGTCTTCCCCCGATAGAAGGCGGGAGCTATCAGAGTCAGAGTTTTCATGAGACTGGCTACGCCCGCGTTCGTGGCTGCGGCTGCCCCGACTGCAGCGCTCTGCATACATCCATCCAAGCATCCAAGCAGTCACGGCAAATAAGCTTGAGCTCGAAGCCCGAATGTGGATCTTACCTGTAGGGAGGGAGAAAATCACGTAATTAATACATTCACGCACCAGAGAGACGCCGACGTAATGCACTCTGGAGCCAGTCTCGTCGCTGATGTATGCCAGCAGCTTCGGAACGTCGTGCTCTACGTGCTGATCCCAAGTCCAGTTCCAGTACGCCTGCATGGTCGTATCCTTCCTGTCAGTCATTAGCAATAGCGAGAAAATACTTGCAAAAAGGCCACACAAATGCTTCGAATCGTCAATTTCCAAGCAAAAATCACGAAAAAACCGGGAGGATCGTGTTGCACATACAACATCGTTGGGAGTAAGCTTCCGATGCTCGTGGCTCCAGAACGTCGCCCGCTCGTGACCGATCCACACATCGAAGCCCTGGTCCGCGAGCCTTAGCGGGAGCAGAGTGTCGTTCTCGGTGGCCACGGGTGTGAACCAGCTGCCCCCGTTGAAAAGCTCGTGGTGCATGAGCAGAACCGGATCCCGGTCTATGAGTTCTGCATTTCGGGTTCGAGTCGAAGGTTGCTCTCGGCTATTGCTGCTAGTAAGTCCCCTCCTTGCAATGTTCGGTGAAGACAAGCCAGGTGAACATTCAGCACTGGAACGGGAAGAAGATCCTCCTGATCCATTAGGTGGGGAGCTCGTTGACGATGGTGGCGAGCCTCCGTATCCGGATCCACCAGGTGCTGGAGAGAGAGCAGAAGTTGATGGTTCTGACGATCCCTCTCCGTAATTCCCTGCACCTGGTGGAGAGTTAGATTCTGAAGGAGTGGGAGGAGAGTAGGAAGGCGGCGTGGATACTCCTTCGTATGGCTCCATACCAGGAGTACTCGTTGGTCCATATCCGCCAGAGGCAGGAAGAGGGTTGAAGGACGTGGGAGATGGAGATCCTCCTCCTATTGCGCCGGCACTTGGTGGTGAATTTCTAGAACCGGCGGGACTGGGTGCACCATATCCAGCGGCTGCCGGGGGAGAGTAAGACGATGGAGCTGAGTTCGATCCTCCATATGTGCTTGCACCTGGTGGGGAGAACGCAGAAGGAGTGGGACCTCCATATCCACCAGGCGGGGAGTAGGAGGACGAGGGTGAATATGATCCTCCATATGCGCCTTCACTTGGAGGCGAGGAGGAGGACGGAAGACTGGGACCTCCATATCCACTAGGTGGAGAGTAGGAGGACGACGGCGCAGATGGTCCTCCATATGCTCCTTCACCTGGAGGCGAGAAGGAGGAAGGAGGAGAACTTGGAGATGGTGGACTTTCTGACCTGCTGCTAGGACTTGTGTACGAGGGTACAGCCTCAGGAGCTGGGCGTGGTTCCCTGAACCCATGGAAGGGCCCCTTGTGCTTGTGCTTATGTCGGAGCTCCGGCTCCAGCCATTCCCACACAGACTTGTCCAGGTTGCCCTGAGGTATAACACGATGCAGACGAAGCATGTAACCATCTTCCGAATATACCTGCCAATGTATACAAATCACACATACACCGACCATGTTCAGGTATCTTCTGCTTGCACAATCTCAGTGAAGCCATGTCTTCTTAAAACATGCCAAAGCAAAAGCGAAAGTTGCAATTTATTTGTCACTACTCTGCTATATAACACTGATGAGTCGAGCCGACATAGTGTCTATTATTAATCAAGACCACTAACCTCATGCTCTTCGCAATTGTATCCTCGAGGAAGTACATAAATCTCGCAGAAGGTCAACGACGCATGCGCATCCATCTCCAGCATCTCCACGCATTGGCTCACAAGAGCCAGAGTAGCAATTAGAGTAGCTAGTGACAGCCATGATGATAAGGGCCGATTGCTCGACCCCATTGTTCTCAGTTGGCTGACGATGCACGAACTGTCGTACAATGAATGTTGATGACTTTGAGACACAACTGATTTACAGAAATGCGATAATAAAGGTTTGCTGATAAAAGTGAGCTTTAGACAACGATAGAACTAGCAAATGTATGCTGTATCTTGAAAAGATAATGATTGATCACCACCTTTCCTCTTTATAGCTGTCACCTGAGGCTTCAGACTAACGTCTCCTTCTCTCAACCGCAAAATCAACTGCTTTTGAAATTTGTCCTTAACAAGAATCTTCAGATATCCTCTCAACTGCTTTCATGGAGTCCAGATCTGGCGCAAGAAGTATACGTTGCGGTTTGATAGCTACTAGCCGTAAAACAATGTCTCTTCATGCTCCATGGCGAGCCTGAGATGGATCGGTCCAAAATACCGCTGCATTGTCATTACTAATCGTTCTAAAACATGGATTAGATTTCAAATATTTTGAAACGATGAAAACTTGAAGTGGGTGGTTGTTTCTTCACAGTGAATTCAGCTGCTGGATCCAAAATCGGTAAGTGGACGAGGTCCTTGTGTGAATTGAGCTAGTGTATACATTCGCAGGCACTGCAGACAAATCCAAGTCTAAGGATGAATAACGCAGACAAATCCGAGTCACAGGATAGATAACGCATATTCGAATTACGCAACTTACGTTTATCACCGTTCTGCCAGGCCGTTGCACAACAGATGTGTCATGACAATGCTTAAATGATGACCTATTGACTCGGGACATTGCCATGACATTTTTTCTTCTGCTCGGCTACAAATTCTCAGCTCGAGCTAGCGGGAATATACTTGCAACAACGACAAGTTGCATGCAGTGCCCGTTGCAAGTTAATGAGTTTCATTCGTAAGTTATTTGTTGCGAAACCGAATCCCATTTCTCTATCTAACGCTATGACTCGGATGGTCATCTTGCAAATGCGAACACAAACCTGTCAACGGGCATCACAATATCTGAATATTTGATTCGATTGCACACTCGCCACCATGGAACTGGAGTTTAGAACCTCACTGTTCGTTTCTTGTGATTCAAGTATCAAGCTCCTTAGAATTTCTGGAAGGTGTGCACCTAGAGCGTGGTAAATTCACTGCATCCACTCGGCTCGACTTCAGAAAATTTTTTAACATCATCGTAACATTGCTGGCCCAGAAGATTCTGTGCATATTTGAAAACTTAGTCTCAAATGAAAAGCGAATAAGCATTGGTCAATGCATTTCTTTCTTTGAAATTTGGCCGCGCAAGGTGAGCTCTTATTTCTCTCTATGCTGCTCCAGTCCATCGTTCACTAACGATAAACCTCGACTTTCCACACATCGTCTATACTGACAGAGAAAATGTGGAATATAGTGACATTTATACCTTCTAAATTTTTATCTATGAAAATTTTCTTTGCAAACTCGGTAAATGCGGTTCCGTCAGGGAAGGGGGTATGGATCACTGCGGCGCCGACGTATCTTACGAGGTGATAGTCTTTAACAAAATATAGATAAATGTGCGACGCACGAGGAGAACTAATGTCGGACTGAAGCCAATGATCTTGCTACTCGAATTGCCTTTCCAACTCAGGCGAAAGGTATTCGTCGAAATTGCTGCATGCAAGCAGTTCACCCGCAGATGTGAGAAGTCGGTCCATGCCTCACTGTCATGGATGAAAGACTCTGTTTGTTGCTGGTTCCAACACTAAACTGATTTACAGAAGGGCTACAAAATTGGTTTGCTGACTAAAAGTGAGCTAGAACGATAGAACTTGCAAATTAATGTTGTATCTTTGAGAAGATACTGATTCATCAGACTGGTGGACTCCACATCTGGCCCATGAAAGTTACGTTGAGGCTAGTAGCTGTCAAACGGATGTAAACATATGTATCATTGTTCTCGATGGCGAGCCTTAGATCAACTTATCAAATACATGGCTGCATTGGAACTTCTTATCGTGCTAAAACAAAGATTACGTTTCAAATATTTTGAACTGAGAAGAAAATGAAATAGATTATTGTACTTCCAAAGTGAAGTCAGACGCAATGCATTCAACTGCTGGTTTCTCCTGGTTGAATATTGGTAGGCCGATTCAGCAAATCCCCACGCTGAATGCGACCTGGTCTTATTATCAATCCCCACGCCTTTCCATTCCGTATGACGATTGGGATGCTCTTGTAATCAATGGCTGTGAAGGTAACTCCTGAAACGAAGTTATAGTGCTATTCGATGATCAATCATCTGACGTTTTTGGAGTTAGAATTTTATTTTTATGGTAGGAACAATGCGGTTGCTTGTTGTTTATAAGAAAGAGGATACGTCAGGTTTCTGAGCGGCTCAACTTTTCCCAGGTTGGCGTTTTAAAAGGGAAGATTATAAATGCTACTCCATTTCAGAAGTGCGCTGCCGACTCGAAGACCAGCCATAAAAACAAGGATGAGTCTCTTGTCCACAAGTATGGATGCAGTTGAAGGATCACGGTTTCAATTACCATGGCACAGAAGTCATGTATAGTGGTGTCTTGGGCACAGAACTTACGTGTGAAATTTACATCGGCTGTGTGTACTATCAAAGACTTCGTCATATGGTTGGAGACAAGTATCAGGTGCGCGAAGCTTGGCTTAAATCATATGGTTTTTATCTCAAGAAGTTCGTGCAATTTGGAATATTCGTACTGGACTTCTTGCCAAACTGAGTCATGTTGTTTGGTTCATCATGGGATCTTAAAGTTGATAGATCTATGTTCTGTGTCATGCTTGGTTTTGTCTGTTGCCGTACCAAATGCATAACCATATGCCTGTTCACCCCGTAATTTTCTCCTTAGGTGAGATCCACTGGTGCTGTGAATCCTGTGACACGACAGCCTGTTAAAGGGCGAAAGTTTGGAAGTGGTATTCGTTTCGGAGAGATGGAGCGAGATTCGTTACATGCTCATGGTGCAGCGTACTTGTTGCATGATAGGCTACATACTTGCTCAGACTATCCAACTGCGGACATTTGTGTTCGATGTGGAAGTCTGTTGCCTACCCCACCTGTAATTCAGCAGAAGAGCAGTGCAGCTTTTGCTATGGAATTAGGGTCAAGTAAAGAGAGCAAAGTCATCTGTAGAGTGTGCAATTCAAGTCGGGATATTGAGCTTGTGGCCATGCCTTACGTTTTCAGATATCCTGCCTCAGAGTTGGCAGCCATGAAGATCAAATTAACACTTACAATTAGCAATGGCTGATATATAAAAGTATATCTATTTTCAGCTTCACATCCTCCCCATTCGTACATTTGACGAATTTGAATGCAATGCACTTCGTCGAGCCGAGCGGATGCTTTGAGTTTACCACGCTCTTTGAGTGCACACCTTCCAGAAATGTCCAGGAGCTTGATACATGTATCACAAGAGACGAACAGTGAAGGTCCGTCCAATTTTTCGGAGAACTTTCGGCGAAACTCAATTCTGGTTGGAAATTTTTCATTTATGATCAGAATTGAATCAGCAAGAGAGATTTTTTTCTTCACAGCAGTAAACACATTGATATCTTCTTGTTAATGGATGACGGTTTATTAAAGTTAATTTTAAACTGATGCAAGGTAGAAGCTCGAATACCCCTCCAGCCTTGTAACCACTTCCTTGTGATCTCGATACGAACTCAGACCTCTCTACCTACAATCCCGTTGCAGTAGTTAGTAACACTAGCGAACTTGCTTCACATTGCCAGGCCTGCTTCGCTGTTTATACATGATTGATAAGATTTTCTTCCCATTAATTTACATTTCGTCTGTTTCGATCTCGTACAGTTGTTCTAGTGTTTCATCAGTCAGATAAATTCCGCCCATATTCAGTGCAGAACATTTGAGCTTTCTTGAGACAGACACTTGGTAGGAAGAAATATCGGTGAGAAATTTTCATTCAACACAGCAATAACAATGAGATAGTGGTTGGAATCTTATACAAATTCTATTATTGGTCTGAAAGATTATCGCTAACGAGTTTTTGTCAGATATAATTTAGAAATCGCAGGAGAGGTATGCAAGAAGATCTTCACAAAGCGAAGAAGAGGAACAGCTCCACAGAAATTTTGGAAGGTCATACATGGCTGTCATCTACAATAGCATTTTCATCCGTGGATTACGGTTGGAGTAAGGCACAGCATCGTCTCCAACCAGTTCTTGTGTTATCAAGATCTATGAGGTTGTTCATTGAGGTTCAAGGCTTGTCACATAGCCCCTAAAGTTCTCACAGAAGAGATCGTTACATTCAGGAGAACAAACTTGGAGAAATTTATAAGATATATTCTCCTAAAATGAATGAACCAAAAGATCATACATTTAGGTGAGCTTTTAATGACTCCACTTTTTTTGCCCAAATTGGTAAAGGTTTTTCCCAAATTGCTTTTACGGCACTAACATAAGTGTGTTTTGACAGGACCAGTATACTCTGCACTTGAAATGCTTTCACGCTCCACCATGTTCTGATAAGGACATCCCCGAGATTTCTTATATATTCTTAAGATCCTTGGGAGTACCGGTGCAGTAGGAGTCAGTGGTGTGAGTTACCTGAGTAGAATCTCCACAGACAGAATACAGTATATGATTTTTTTCCACAACATCACGAAATGGATCTCATCAGTTCGTATTTTCACTTGCACCACTAACTACGTGACCTGATGCTTAAGGGCAGATGTCCCTGTAACCAGTATCTATCATCCGCTCAGAGCAGTGCAGAAATTGGCAACTGAGTTGGATTGTGGCAATGGGTATCTGAGTCAAAAAAACTTTAAATGTCAAACTCGAAACATTTATTTTTAATAATGCATGTATGAAAGTTTGAAAGTATGTACACAATTCATTTATACTGTAAAAAATTTCAGCATATAGTGAATTTTAAAAATTTAATGTTAAATGTCATCAGTAGAACGAAGGGACTTCATATTCTTTAAATCAATGAAATTAGTATACTTTATTACATAAAAATATTTTTTACTTGGCTTTTATAATGTAACTAAGTCAAAATCTTTTACTGTAATATTAGATTGAGCAATAAGAAGCCCATTTAATGTGTATCAAAAAATTCAGTTTGATTTAATTTGCTAATTGGAGATTAAACTTTAAAATATATATGTATTTAAGTCCAAAAATTCTAAACATTGAGTATTATGTTCTTCGACTTGCATATTTAAATTTCTTGTTAAAATGATCCACTGTCAAATATTTAGTGATGATAAATCCTTATAATATTTTTTGACCCTTCTTTGAATATTATTTGATAAACTTGGTGAAACTTCGCAAGATTCATTTGCTTAAAAATTTCTATGAATGTATATGTTTTTTCTAATTTGAATTTTTCATCAGCCTCAGATTTTTGTTAAAACAAATTTCAGCTAAAATTTGATACCCATTATAATCTTCAACAAGATATTAACAGATTTGCTCTAAATTTTCTTGAAGCAAAATTAGAGCAAATCTGTTTAGAATTTTTATAAAAGGAAAATTACTTATTTGCATTGATTAAATGTAATAAAATATTTGAGTCATGTATTATCTAGTTTCAATTTGTGTCAAACTTGATTATTGGAAAAATTTACATATTAAGTTTTATATATGGACATTTTATGCCATAGTTTTTTTTTTAAACATGACCTAACTATAAAAATAACATGTTAAGATGTTGTGAAGTTAGTATAACAAGTTGCTTGATTATTTTTATATTTAAATTACAATTATTTTTTCTCATATCTTCAAATATCTTTATGCTCTCTTAATGTTAAAGGATATCCTGCCTATGTAAAAGAAGTCACTTGTCAACTCACCAAGAATTTCCTTTCAAAGAGGAGTATCAAGCTATGCGCTGTCTCTATTTGAATCTTGGAAAGATTATAAGTTTATTAGATCACTCAATGAACGTTATCATAAATCGTAGGGCATGACTATATGGACCCTTATACTAAATCGAATAAATTTGAATTAGAAATCATATCTTCGTGCTATTGATGCGTTGTGAGTAGAAAAATTAAGCAACTGCTCGAAGTATTGATTCACAGAAAAAATGAACCTCTACGAAGTGATATAACCCATAATGTAGAATTAATCACAAATGATTTTGCTTGCATCCAACTTGATAAATCAAGGTAGGGTAATCTATCCAGGTCGATCAATCTGATAGACCTTGTGATCTTTCTATAGAATTTGATTTAGTGCCTACCAACTCTCTTTGCGACGTGGAGCTTATTGGGTCCTTTTTTTGCACAGTCCCTTTATTGGGTCCATAAGTACTATTCACTAGCGGTGACTCTGTCTTCACCTTCAAAGGCGATTGGGGTGACAGCTGCATAGAGATTACACTTTATGTCTTCGAAAGTACAGTATATCCACTCCTTGCAAAGTAGGAAATACACGAGGATCTGATACGAAGTATGTAGTCTGTGCACAGGGTTTCCGTGACAAATGAAGCCGGTTATAAAGTTTACAGTTCATAAGTACGAATTAAAAAGTAACTACTTTGTTTCAGGGATGGAAAAAGCCCGATTTTTATTGAAATAATTCGGGTTGATTGAAGAACCTAATTTCAACAATGGTTTTAATCAATTATAAGACTACCGGTAACTAAGCAGCATATAACAATGTAGTAGCAAATACTTCATGCTTCTAGGAGTTCATTATCATTATCGGATTCATCTGATATCAAAATTGGACTCGTCCTCAACATTTGACTGACTTGAGATTATATTTGAGATGAAAAATCCACGTGTCCGAAAAAGGGTATTACCCTTTTTCGGACTTAAATTTGCTACTTAATTCCTTCACTCAATCATCAAGAGACGGTAGGTACTTTGTGATACAACTAGAACTGAGTCTACAATTGAATAAAGATGTGTTTGGATATAAAGCTTCATCCGGAGTAAATATAAACCTTGTCATGGATCTGATATTTCTTTCCAATTCTAATAGTAGAAAATGAAAGATGGAGAAAGATAGATGAGATCGCTACCTGTCGTAGACAAAAAGGACATAAAGTTCTAAACAATCTGGTTTTTCCAAGGGGTGTATGAGCACAAGGTTTCAGAATAAGATGCAAATAAATCAGTCAACCAAGGCCAAGGAGCTAAAACATGACAGCGAAGGTTTCTAATGAGGAGACAGTAGAAGAATACATGTATAAATCTATGGATCAGTACATGGATGTTACTGCTACATGGATCTACACAGTACTGTTACATGGATCGGACAGCGGATATATACACACATAGCTGCGAGGACAAAAAGTTCCAGGGGGAATGGTGGAGGAGCTCTTGCCGCAGACCTCTTTGAAAACATTGCTGAGTTCATGGAGTTCATTTGGATCCAACAGTATCTCAAGATTGTCAAAATGTCATTAGAAAGGGGAAGAGTAGCTGAACCAGATCAAGCAGGAAGAACAGCGAGCCTCGGCGGGCCGGAGGCTGGAGTGCTTTCCGACGGGTATGACCCTTCACTTACAGTGAAGAGCTCTCTACTACTTAAGAATGTCGATATCTTTAGCACATATCAGCTCTTATCAGTTTTATCACATGTGAGAGCAAATGATGACTGTGGGAGCTTTCCCCCAATTCTTCTTCACCAAAATTTGATCCGTCCAAATTATTCCCAATGACTCTGTCTAGTTCGACTGTGTCTAAAAATGAGGGTTAAATGAATGTGCTTCAAGGAAAAATCATGGCATTTATGGGCTGCATCAATGTCAGGGGCCTTGCTTCGTTTGAAAAATTTACAATCTGGAAGATCTAATCTCCCAACCCAATAAGATTGGGAGAAAATAACTTACTCTGTATAGATTCCAGATGTATCTTTCAGTATAAACAGTTACCAAATAGTTATAGTAAGTCTTAGCTTGATTTTTTTTCTGCGAAAGACATTTGCTTGTTGGACACATACCCATATTTTATTCCATGGACATCCTTTCTTTTTATCTCAGTATAAGCTATTAATTTTTTCACTCTGAATCCTCTGAAAATCAGTATTTTCCTTTTCTGTTATTTCATATACACCTTTGAAGTTTTATATTATTTATTTTTTCAAGATATATATGTAGAAAATGTATGCAATGTGTCGATCTTGTTTATGCTGTTCATCTTGAAAAAAGGAAAGATGTCACAACCTTCTTGAACTATTCAATAGTAAGTAGAAAATTGTTAAATCAATCACATTTGGTCATAGAATGTGTTTATAATCTGTTGTGCTACTCTACTCCTGATTACATTTGAGCTTAAATTTAGAATTGTTTGACACTTCATAGAGGTGATGTTATATTGATGGGCATAATAACCAGTAAATTAGAAGTCCAAATATATTTTTAAATATATTTTTCGCCCAAATATATTTTTATTGAGGCCATTGTCTTTGTATCAAATCTTTAGATGTGTACTTCAAAAATCCTTCATTATTGACTCTGGCGATTACAGAATGTATATAAAAATAAAGAAAATAGAAAAAACTAGTTGTACAACTTGTGAATGCATGGAGGGAACCTTTGAGATATAGTGCTTTTTTGAGGCTTGGTTGAGTGGTTTGGGACCAAAGCATGACTTGAGAAACTATATCATTCATTTGTGTGCATATATACATATATACATAATATTTTTCTCCGGTAGTGAGTTCCAACAAGTCAAGTTTGATCTTCACCAAAACTCTACCTCTTCAGGAATTGAAATCGTGATGGACACGACAAACGTCGATCTGACCAACCAAAAATTGCAAAATACCAACATACTTATCACCGAGCGAATGGGAACCACTTGGAAAATGGACAAAATCACCCGGACACGATAAAAACAGGATTGGCTGTATAAATATCATCTTACTCTAATCTAATGGATCCATGTGATTTTTCTATGAAAGCTACGTACGGGAAACGAGCAAGAGCGTCATCTGAATACGGTTTTAGAGTAAGTGGTTTGCGACAGTCAACGATTGCATCGACCAGGTGTTAGCAAGATCTGAAACTGGGCACCTTCCAACCGGGATGGGACTAGGACTGTCAGAGGGTTCAAATATCTTCATGCCCAAGGATAGACTGATAGCTCACTCCATGGCAGACGAGATTTTTCTTATCGAACCAGGGATCCAAATCAAGAAAAGAATAAAGGAAAAATTTCATTGATTTCATGAATGTTCGAGAGACGAGTGCACAAGTGACTTGTTCACATGCTCTGAGTGGATAGAGCCCCATCGGTGAAATGGTACATAACCAGTAAAAGTTGATTCTACGTCAAGTACTGAATAAATTGTGGCTATCTCCGCATGAATATCATATGGGCAACAGCTCATTTTGCTTATTGAGATATCTATACCTCTATAGACTACTGGGACTAATCGTACGATTGAAGGCATAAACCTCTCCAACAACAGCTCCTGATGATATTTCTATTATCACTAACTACTACTACTGGGACCATGGATTAATAAGTTTCATGAATAAGTTTCATAGTCTGCGTCAAGCTCATGAATTCCAGCGCACCTTCGGGAGGCGAGTATAAATCCTGCCCTCCGTAGACCACCAACATCGGAAGGTCGCTGGGAATATCTTTGGGCTCGTAAGTCGGAGGGTCGGTTTTGCCCTCGTATGCCAGCGCATTGAAGGCTGCCGACCCGTATTCGAAGTGCTGAAAGGTACTCGTCGAGATTCCTGCATGCAAGCAGTTCACACGATGATGTGAGAAGTCAGTCCATGCTTTGCTCCAAAAGTATCAAATCCATGTGAATCGATCCAGCCCTGCTTGCCTTCCTTCCTTCTAATCTAGTCAAGATCGATCGTCCAGTTTACCCTGATGGAGGTGCTCGAGATTCTTGTACGACGTCACTCCATCCCACCCCTTGGCAAGCGAGAGCACACTCGGACCCAGGCAACAATCGGGGCCTTTATTATGTACATGCATGCACAACAACGAGAAACGGGTTCAGATATTAATCTGATTCCACAAACAAGTCGATCGACAGAAGGGTATCGATAAACCGAATCATCCCACGAGCACAATTTTTCTAAATCACTGGGAAAAACCGAATGAAGAAGGGATGGTCAGTCACCCGAGATGGCGAACCGCAGACGAGAAGTGGGGCCGGTCAATGGAATGGCATCTAGAAGAAACTCCCTGGGGCACCACGGATTAGTATTAGCTATCGATCTTTCCTAACTTCACCAAAATCTTTTCATCGCTGCTGATGTGGACAGATCGAAGATAATCGATTTCATGTCAAGTCAAGCATGCTGCTGATGCCATACTGACCTCGGAAAGTTGAACGCACCGAGCCTGTTGTCGTGCCATTCGTCGTCGCTCGTGCCCAAGGCCTGTAATCACAATACAGCGGCTGTCATAGTCGATTCTTGATTGCAATCCCGTAGTCAGCACTATCAAGTCTCACATAATGAAACAGAAATGGAGAAGGCGGTCGGAAGCCTCACCGAGGGAAATGGAATAGGATCCCAGGCTTGCAGGAACTCTGAAGTAGTCTTCCCCCGATAGAAGGCGGGAGCTATCAGAGTCAGAGTTTTCATGAGACTGGTGACGCCAGCGTTCGTGGCTGCGGCTGCCCCGACTGCGGCGCTCTGCATACATCCATCCAACCAGTCACGGGAAATAAGCTGGAGCTCGAAGCCAGAAAGATTATCTTACATGTAAGGAGGGAGGAAATCACTTCAAGGATACATTCGCGCACCAGAGAGAAGCCAACAATATGCACTTTGGAACCGGTCTCGCCGCTGATGTATGTCAGCAGCTCTACGTGCTGATCCCAAGTCCAGTTCCAGTACGCCTGCATGGTCGTATCCTTCCTGTCAGTCATTAGCAAGAGCCAGCAAATACTTGCAAAAACGACACACAAATGCTACGTATCATCAATCTCCAAGCGAAAATCACGAATAACCGGGAGGATTGTGTTGTACTTACAGCATCGTTGGGAGTAGGCTTCCGATGCTCGTGGCTCCAGAGCGTCGCCGGCTCGTGACCGATCCACACATCGAAGCCCTGGTCCATGACCCTGAGCGTGAGCAGAGTGGCCACGGGCGTGAACCAGGTGCCCCTGTTGAGAAGCTCGTGGTGCATGAGCAGAACCTGGTCCCGGTCGACGAGTTCTGCATTTCGGGTTGGAGTCCGAGGTTGCTCTCGGCCATTGCTGCTAGTAAGTCCCCTTCTTGCAATGTTCAGCGAGGACAAGCCAGGTGGACATTCAGCACTGGAAGTAGATCCTCCTGACCCATTCGGTGGGGAGCTCGTTGACGATGGTGGCAAGCCTCCGTATCCGGATCTACCAGGTGGTGGGGAAATAGCAGATGTTGATGGTCCTGATGATCCCTCTCCGTAATTCCCTGCACCTGGTGGCGAGTTCGATTCTGAAGGAGTGGGTAGAGAGTAGGAAGGCGGCGGCGTGGATTCTTTTCCGTATGGCTCCGTTTCAGCAGGACTCGGTGCTCCATATCCGCCAGCAGCAGGAGGAGGGTCGAAGGACGTGGGAGATGAAGATCCTCCTCCTATTGTGCCGGCACTTGGTGGTGAGTTCCTAGAACTGGCGGGACTGGGTGCCCCATATCTAGCGGCTGCCGGGGAAGAGTAAGACGATGGAGCTGAGTTCGATCCTCCATATGTGCTTGCGCCTGGTGGGGAGACCGCAGAAGGAGTAGGACCTCCATATTCACCGGGCGGAAAGAAGGAGGACGATGGCGGAGATAATCCTACATATGTGCCTTCACTTGAAGGCGAGGAGGAGGACGGATCACTGGGACCTCCATATCCACCAGGTGGAGAGCTCGAAGACGATGGCGGAGATGCTCCTCCATATGTGCCTTCACTTGGAGGCAAGGAGGAGAAGGGAACACTGGGACCTCCATATCCACCAGGTGGAGAGCTCGAAGACGATGGCGGAGATGCTCCTCCATATGTGCCTTCACTTGGAGGCGAGGAGGAGGACGGATCACTGGGACCTCCATATCCACCAGGTGGAGAGCTTGAAGAAGATGGCGGAGATGCTTCTCCATATGTGCCTTCACTTGGAGGCGAGGAGGAGGACGGATCACTGGGACCTCCATATCCACCAGGTGGAGAGCTCGAAGAAGATGGCGGAGATGCTCCTCCATATGTGCCTTCACTTGGAGGCGAGGAGGAGGACGGATCACTGGGACCTCCATATCCACCAGGTGGAGAGCTCGAAGAAGATGGCGGAGATGCTCCTCCATATGTGCCTTCACTTGGAGGCGAGGAGGAGGACGGATCACTGGGACTTCCATATCCACCAGGTGGAGAACTCGAAGACGATGGCGGAGATGCTCCTCCATATGTGCCTTCACTTGGAGGCGAGGAGGAGGACGGATCACTGGGACCTCCATATCCACCAGGTGGAGAGCTCGAAGAAGATGGCGGAGATGCTCCTCCATATGTGCCTTCACTTGGAGGCGAGGAGGAGGACGGATCACTGGGACCTCCATATCCACCAGGTGGAGAACTCGAAGACGATGGCGGAGATGCTCCTCCATATGTGCCTTCACTTGGAGGCGAGGAGGAGGACGGATCACTGGGACCTCCATATCCACCAGGTGGAGAGCTCGAAGAAGATGGCGGAGATGCTCCTCCATATGTGCCTTCACTTGGAGGCGAGGAGGAGGACGGATCACTGGGACTTCCAAATCCACCAGGTGGAGAACTCGAAGACGATGGCGGAGATGCTCCTCCATATGTGCCTTCACTTGGAGGCGAGGAGGAGGACGGATCACTGGGACCTCCATATGCAGCAGGTGGAAAGTAGGAGGACGACGGCGGAGATGGTCCTCCATATGCTCCTTCACTTGGAGCCGAGAAGGAGGAAGGAGGAGGACTTGGAGATGGTGGACTTTCTGACCTGCTGCTAGGACTTGTGTTCGAGGGTACAGCCTCAGGAGCTGGGCGTGGTTTCTTGAACCCAGGGAAGAGCCCCTTGTGTTTTTGCTTATGTTGGAGCTTCAGCTCCAGCCATTCCCACACAGAGTTTTTCAGGCTGCCCCGAGGTATGACCCGATAACCATCCTGCGAATATACCTACCAGCGTACACACATTACACATAGACCGACCATGTTTAGCTATCTTCTGGATACACAATTTGAGTAAAGCAATGAAAAAACAAAAGCAAAAGTTGCAGCTTTTTTCACCCTATTCTGCTTTAGAATACTGATCGTAGAGCCGACAGAGTATCTACTAGTAAATGAGACCACTAACCTGATGCTCTTCGCAATTGTATCCTCGAGAAAGTACATGACTCTCGCAGAAGGTTAACGACGCATGCGCATCCATTTCCAGCATCTCCACGCATTGGCTCACAACAGCCAGAGTAGCAATTAGAGTAGCTAGTGATAGCCATGATGATAAGGGCCGATTGCTCGACCCCATTGTTCTCAGTTGGCTGACGATGCTCGAACTGTCGTTCACTGGATGTTGCTGATTTTGACACAACTGATTTGCAAAAAGGCGATAATGAAGGTTTGCTGATAAAACTGAGCTGTAGACAACTATAGAACTTGCAAATGTATCTGAGCTTTGGACAACGATAGAACTTGCAGATGTATGCTGTATCTTCGAAAAGATACTGATTGATCAACACCTTGCCTCTTTATTGCTATCACCCGGGGCTTCAGACCAACGTCTCCTTCTCTCAACCGCAAATCAACTGAATTTGAAATTTGTCCTTAAGAAGAATCGTCAGATATCCTCTTTGAACCGTTTCCATGGAGTCCAGATCTGGCCCAAGAAGTATACTTTGCGGTTTGACAGCTACAAGCCGTAAACAAATGTCTCTTCGTCCTCCATGGCGAGTTTGAGATGAATTGGTTCAAAACACGGATGCATTGGAATTAGTAATCGTTCTGAAACAATGATAACATTTCAAATATTTTGAACTAATGAAAATTTGAAAAGGGTGGTTGTTCTTCCAGAGTGAATTCAGCTGCTAGTATTTCTGGATCCAGAATCGGTAAGCGGACGAGGTCCTTGTATGAATTCAGCCAGAGTTTACGTCGGCAAGCACTTCTTGTCCTGCAGACAAATCCAAGTCAAAGGATAAATACCGCATATTCGAAGTACGCAACTTATGTTTCTCACCGTTCTCGCCATGCCGTTGCACAACAGATTTGTCGTGACAATGCTTAAATAACGGATTGACATGTTGACTCGAGACATTGCCATGACATTCTTCTGCTCGGCTACAGATTCCCAGCTCGAGCTAGCGGGAATATACTTGCAACAACGACAAGTTGCATGCAGTGCCCGTTGCAAGTTAATGTGTTTCCTTCGTAAGAGTTATTTGTTGCGAAACCGATGTCCCATTTCTCTATCTACCGCTATGACTCGGATGGTCACCTTGCAAATGCGAATACAAACCTGTCCACGCGCATCATTAAATATCTGAATATTTAACTCGATATTTGATACAAACTGATAATATAATAAGAAAAAATATTTAATCCAATTCCATGGTGGCGACACCATGAGTCCGCCAGCGACTGAAATTGTGCTGCATTCACAGATGCGGGTGGGGGGAAGTGGAAAGAGGTGATGGATATCAGCTCGATGAGGTAGACGTCGCTGACTGTAACCAACTTTCTCTATCATTCTTCCCGATAAATTTATTCTGTAGGAGGACGAGGAGTGCATGCCAACGTTTACTCTGACTGAATCCAGAGAAGGAGCTCGTCGGCCTACCAATATTCGAACCAACCGAATGCACTGCAGCTGACTTCACTTTGGAAGTACAGTCTAATTTCCTGTAAGTAGACCTTGGTGGAGAGTAATCCTTACTGTAGAATATTGAACACCGTTACTGGTAGCGCACAATTGTCAAAGCTAAAGGGTGGAGATAGAGCTGTTGTGGACTTTGTGGCAGCAGTCGGAACAGGACCCAAGGAGCCGATGCAGAAGGTAAAATATACGCCCGGATCTGAATATTATTTCAATGAGTAAATTGTAGCTGTGTTCTCCACCTTTTATTGTTGGAGAAAATTGGTGTACTTTTTTTTTGTCTTTGTAATTGGTATGGACCTTCACAGGTAAGCATTCGGATGCCATACGGTCGTAACCCTGTTATTGGAGACAAGTTCAGTATTCGGCATGGACAGAAGGGTGTGCTCTCACAGCATATTGACATGCCATTTTCAGCTGTTACTGGAATGCGACATGGTCTCATTATCAATCCCCACGCCTTTCTATTCCGTATGACGATGCTCTTGTAATCAATGTCTGCGAAGGTAACTCCTGAAACGAAGTTATAGTGCTATTCGATGATCAATCATCTGACGTTTTAGGTAGGAACAATGCGGTGCGTTTTCTTTATAAGAAACAGGATACGTCAGGTTTATGAGCGGCTCAACTTTTCTCAGGTTGGCGTTTTAAAAGGGAAGTTTATAAATGCTAATTTATTTCAAAAGTGCGCTGCCGACTCGAAGAGCAGCCATAAAAAAAAGGATGAGTCTCTTGTCGACAAGTATGGAAAGCAGTTGAAGGAATACGGTTTCAATAACCATGGCACAGAAGTCATTAAATTGCATCTAACTTATATCGTCACAAATCATTGAACTTCTTTAACACCTTGCAAAAATTTAACCGGAATCTGCTCCAGGCTAAACATCTTTGGATCTAAGACTCAATTCCACCCTACAGATCCTAAAGCACAAAAAAGTCATCGCAACAGAGAGCTCGGACCTTCGTTTGGTATGATGAAAGAAGTAGTCGACGTGGGAAGCAGGAGACAGCAGAACGGAGAGCTTGAATGAACCGACTTCAGAGCTTAGTAAGTTTGACGGAATTGTGGACCAACCTTTTTGCCATGATGACAGGAAACAACGCAGTGCAGAGGAATGAAAGCATCTAAAGATCACAACAGGACCTGGTGATGGAGGGAATATTAGACATCATACGTAACGCGAATATTTTCATATTACACTCATCGGTTAATAGTATCCTGCAGGCACGGCATCTGAGGTTATCTGCAGTTTAATTCTCATCGAGGCGCTTCTCACAGAAAAAAAGAGCCTTCGATAAACAATCGCCCCTTCGCTTTCGATGGTCGATATGACACCACTCTGTCAGGAGGATATTTCTAATTCAGGAGATAATTAATTTACAAGACTGCTGCCAAAATCTTCCTATGTACTCCTCTCGATCGCTCATAAACTAATGGTTTCCCTATACAAAAAAGAGTCACCCTCGGCCGTCGCTCTACAGTTCGGTACCAAACAATACCACTGTCTGTCGACAATGTACATCATGATCTTCCTGATTTCATCGCTGAGCCTGGGGTGCTACAACTATCGAGCTCGGAACATCGCGAGGCAGTTTCTGAAGTTCATTTACCAGCTTCACAGGCAGGAGGAGGAGGAGGAGGCTTCATGATGAACTGCGGTCGCTCTGGGCTGCATGAGACTCAGAGTCTGCGTCGCTGCCGCCCGAGGTTTTTCTTCTTCATTCGGATTGGGAGGTTCGGATTCAGAATCGCGGTCGGGAGATATAGAAATGCCTTCCGCCGCCGGAGGGTCCGAGCCTTGCCGATCGTCATCAAGAGCATGAGTATTCGCAGCCGAGGCCGAATCCAGCCCGCCGCTGTGCACCATGAGCGTGAGCTGCGCGGGGAAGAAAGGCTCGAGGAGCCCGTAGCTCACCATGGCGTTGAAGGCGACGAGGAAGAGCCACTTGGCGACGAGAATGGCGAGCGAGCGAACGACGAGATTCTGAAGGGGCCCGATCAAGGATATGAGCGTCCCCAGGTCCCCCCGCCGCCGTTGACCATGCGGCAGAACCTGAAGGCGAAGGAGAAGAGCTCGCGGGCGAGGGCCGGCTGCATCACGAAGCGGTCCACCGAGTGGACGACCTGCGATCGCCGGTCGGTCCACCAGGCCGAGTGCTCGCTGAGAGTCGAGCTGCGTTGTAAATCAGCCCGTCGAGTACGTGCCTCCTTCAGGGTTTAGGGTAAATCCTTCCCGTTCGTCGTACAAGATTATTACATGCATTACATCCATTCAGCACGGAGAGCTAGGATGCTAAACATAACCAAAGAAGACATGGACCCTGACAGTAACCTTCATTACAATGTTCTTGCTCTTGTATATATATCTGTGTGTGTGTGTCATGTGGTATCGGGTTCTGTTAAAAAATGGGACTGAAGACTGAGGACCAAGTTGTATTGAGGAATGGCATACATACTTAAGCTCAAAAAGCGAGGGGCAAAGCTCTTATACATCGTAAACTTGTGCTTGAACCTGGATCGGAATCCTCAGAGGATGAACCTAAAAATGAGGTTGACCCCGAAGAATAGGATGATCTTGATGAGACCATTTACAAGATGTCACCAAGTAATCATCGTATTGCATAAATGTTGGTCATGCAAAAGAGATGAATGAGAATGAATCCTTTGAGTTGAAATTTGAAGAGAAATATCGGCTAATCATGGATATTGAGTTCAAAATGGCTTCAGGATCATCAAAAAGTGGGAATTGAAACTTACTCGTGAATTTCGCTCGAACGTGGAGAGTCGGCAAGGTGGACAGCTCAAAATAAATCATGAGCTCTATTTTGGATCTCACAAGAGGGAAAACAGGCTTGCTGGAGCCTCTAGCTTCATTGGAAAGCACATGGGCTTTGGAGCGTGAGAGTGATAGAACTGAACCGTAGGATGGAGTCGAGCAGAGCTAGAAAGATATACCCTTAGAATGTTAGTTAGATGAAGATGGGTGGTAACAAAAAACAGCGAACAGGCTCTACTGAGGATCTCTCAGCGAACCGTCCTAATTATAAAGAACCCAGATCTGGAAGAGACATGAAACGTCAAGCTAGACCTGGAAGGTTTGTATTCTTCTTTCTGCATTAGCACCATGTTTACACATCTAAAGGAAGAGGGATGTGGAGGTTTAACCCCCAACAGCCCTTGCAGCATTATGTGTAGACGGAAAGGCTATCATTACAATAGCATCAGTAAGAGTACAGAGCACTGCCTCTGTCTACTAACAAAAATTAAAAATGATTTACGCTCTTCATGTTGCTATTTTCTTCTTTCATCGACGTCGATGTGTATGCTTCGCCTCTTTCGATTGCACTCCATTGATCTCTGGCGTATTCCTTCATCAGAATGATGCAGCACTAATTGTGACATTGTTGTTTCTTAATAATCGGAACGGCTTGCAGAGCATCTCATTGGGCCTTGCACAGCGGTCTTCATGACACACTTTATGTGCATCCTGCGTCATGTCCCACCTCCGGGCTCTTTTAGCTCTATGGTTCTCCGCCTTATCCACACGTGACTTCCCTAGATCCTACATAAAACATACATGCAAGCCTTGAAGATACTTTACTACGTTGTACGACATATCCACAGATCTTGCCGATTAAATCATGGCACCGCTGATTAAAGATGTGAGCATACTAATAATCTAATGGGTGGGTGAGTTCAGAGTGCATCTCTCTGATGATTACGGATAACTGGCACAGAGATAAAGGATGACATGTCACGATTACCGAAGGTTCTCGTGAGACTCGTGCTATATTCTTGAACGACAAAAGTCAACTACAAGCACTTTCTATTCATGTACACAAGTCTTGGCCACTAAAGATGATACTAGAGCTTGGATTTGGATATGAAAAAAAAAATTCTCTTTTGAGACCGCACGTGAGTGCCATCCATGGAAGTGCAGAATCTGATTAAAGCATGACCTTTGCACACATGAAGATTATCGTCATCATCCTCATGACCGTGGATTGCAGACGTTGTCATTGACGATTAGTGAACTCTGATATACTTAAGATATCTACACCTGTTGCTCTAACCAGAGAACAACACTTTCTTCATTACCTTCAACATTTACGTTCTTTGCCATTTACCTGTGTCATTCAAAATTTTACAACTCCACATATAATGTATCAACTCCGTTGAAGTAAACCTTGAGCTTTTCGCGTTATTATGTGGTTCTTACAATAATGCACTCAGCTCGCTTACAATGCTCTATAAGTCACATACAGCTAAAAGAACTGTGCCTTCAGCTTCTGCAAACGGCTGAATCGTTACCATACAGCTGCAAAATCATTGTCTCTCTCTAATCAGAAGAAGTACGAAGAAATATAGCGAAATTCTAGGAAAAACTCATCAAGTTTTAGATAGATGAAACCAAAGGTGTAACATTGGGTAGACCCCAAATATGAGACTTTCTCCTTTCCAGGATTGCACAAGAACTTCCATATTTGGCACGGCACTACAATCTCACTTTGTAGGACCAAATTAACGGCTTCACATTATGCACACAAATCGAAGACATAGATTAAGAGCTCCTGTAGGTGATGTCACTGTGTGCTCCTTTGGAACATCGAAACTTCCAAGTTCATTTGTCAAGAAGCAAAATTTATTTCCGCACATTGCGGGGATAAATGTTGGAATCAATAACGGGGACACCAAACAGTTGGTCAGTCAGGGCTGACACCTTTTGTCTTCAACACTAGCTTCCTTCCCAAAATGGAGAACGAAAGTTTGCATTCTGCCCTTCAGCTCACACCGCAACCACAGTCGACATCTCAGCCACAGAGTACGATTCCATCCTCTGAGAACAGTACAGTAATTGCATAGATTTTGCAATTCGAGCTTGTTGACCTTCCGATGTCTTCACCATTACTTTGTATATGCTAGAAAGTAATGGTGAAGACATCGGAAGGTCAACGGAAGGTCAACGTGGCAATCTGTTCTCATATCTTGATGCTCAATCAAGCTCAATGTACTTGCAGATGTAGTCAAATTCCCATCCAGAATCATGTAACCCTGCAGGCTAATGAACTTTGCTTCCAAGAGAAGAGGAAGGAAAGAAGGCTCATTGGCTCATTTGAAATGCTAACCTTCAAAGGAGACAATGTGAGAAAGAAAAGGAATCCCCGCCAAAAAATCTTTGCACACGTCACGACGATTAAAAGCTTTGCATGGTGGCCGATGAATCCAAGCGGGGAGTTGATAATTGAAATATCCATGACCGTAGACCACCTAGTTCGTTCATGCGTGCCGAGGGAGGCGTAAAGAAAGCATTCGATCCTCAAAGTGCAGTGAAGGTTTAACCACTTCAACTTTCACTGCCCATTCATATTGGCCAGCAACAAGCACACGGCGGTCCCAGGAGCCAGCGAGAGCTGCAGTAGTTTAGACTTCAGGACCAAGCCGTCAACACTTCGTTAACGAATCGTCATGACCCTCTCCATCGTTTTCAGGAGGAATCTGCACACTCCCGAGGAATATCTCGCACTTTGCTCCAAGACAGCTTCGGGTCAGTGACCTTTAGCAGCAAGATATCATCTGATAGAGAAGTGCACAATTCTGCACCTGTCGCTTGTGTCCTTCGTCCGAGCATGTGCACAGCAATGCGCATGCTCGGACGAGTGAGTGAAATTCATCTCTAACGCCGTACGAGTCCAATGTGTTGCCACTGTCCCAGGGAGGCCAATGCGCTCCTGCAATTCAAGGCCGAAATCGAAAACTACACGGACAACGCTTTGGATGGATGGACAACGGGGAATCGCTCCACCTACTGCTTGTGGACGAGGGTCATCTGCGACGATGAGCTGCACGTGATCTCCCTCAACTTCTCCGGGCTTAAGATGAACGGCACTTTGGGTCCTTCGTTGAGCAAGCTCGAATACCTCGTGGAACTCGATCTGAGCCACAATTTCCTGTTGAGCCAGCTTCCCTGGAATGGGGCCGACTGCAGAGGCTGCAGACCTTGAACGTCCACGACAATTTTCTCTTCGGTGGAGTTCCTGCAGAGTACGGCAACATGTCGAGCCTACGAGTCTTCTACATCGGAGAACAGGGCGATTTCTTCAATGGGTTCATTCCGGAGGAGCTGGGTTTGATTTCTGAGCTCGAGTTTCTGGCCCTGGGCACGCTCTTCAATTTCGACTCCAAGCAGGAATACTACCCTGACCGGTCGAACAAGATGAGAGGCCCCATTCCCAAGTCCATCACCAACTGCACGAAGCTGTGGTACTTGGATTTCTCCGGCAACTTCTATCTGACGGGTCCCATTCCGAGAGAGTACCGCCACCTCGTCAATCTGGAGTATCTGAGCTTCGAGCAGAAAAATTTCACAGGCTCCATCCCATCCGAGCTGGGCAACCTGACGATGATCAAGTTCCTGAACTTGGGAAACAATGCCCTGGAGCGAGAGTTCCCCGTGGAGCTGGCGTCGCTGTCGGAGATCGAGTTTCTGAACGTGGGGACCAATTTCCTGACGGGGAGTTTTCTGACAGTGGAGTCCACTTCATGGAGTCGGCTCGAAAAGCTCTTCATCGGCGAGAACAACTTTCGTGGCGGCTTTCCCAGAGCTGTGACGGCCATGACGGCGCTGACGATGTTCTACATGTCCATCAAGGAGTTCACCGGTGGCCTCCCCGAGAACCTGGGGCAGCTGGCCAATCTCCGACATTTCAGCTTCGGCATCAACCGGCTGGACGGGCAGTTGCCCGACAGCCTCAACAACTGCACGCAGCTCCAAACGCTAGACGCAGCGAGCAACAACTTCACGGGCACGCTGGACCCGCTGAGAAACCTCTCGCTGCTCGTTATTCTGGAATCAGCGAACAACAGGCTCACGAGCACCCTGGACCTGCTGAGAAGCCTCTCGCTGCTAGTTTACTTGTACGCAGACAACAACAGGCTCACGGGCATGCTGGACCCGCTGAGAAACCTCTCGATGCTCTCGGACGGCATCAGGTTCTTGCTCCTGAACGACAACGACCTCCGAGGCCACATTCCCGCAGAGCTCGGCAAGCTGCCGAATTTGGTATTCCTCTTCCTGCACTATGACGGGCTGTTGGGGCCCATACCCACGAGCTTGGCCGACCTGAAGAGTATCAACGAGATCAATCTGAGCAACAATTTTCTGACATGAGAAATCCCCCCGAGTTCGGAAGTCTGGAGAGTTTGGAGTACTTGGGCCTGCAT